TGCTATGAACATTCATGTACAGATCTTTGTAGGAACACATGCTTTCTTTTCTTGGGAAAATACCTAGACTGAAATGACTAGATCATATGTTGGTGTATATTTAACTTGTTAAAGAAATTGACAAACTATTTTGCAGATTGCCTGTATCATTTTACATTCCTACTAGAAGTGTATTAGAGTTCCAATTCCTCCACATCCTCAACACCACTTTTAACTTTAGCTGTTCTAATAGATATGTATATATATATTTTGTATATAGATAACTAGTTATTGCATCATGGTTTTACTTAGTGTTTCCCTAAAGACTAATGAGATCAATACAGTTGAGTGCTTTTTCATATGCATGTTTGCTATCCAGGTATCTTCTTGGTGAAGTGACTATTCAAGTCTCTTGTCCATTTTTTAATTGAGACTTTTGTTTTCTCTTTCAGTTTTGAGAGTGTCTTATTATCTTGATACAAATCCTTTATTATATGCTTTGCAAATATTTCTCCCAATCTGTGGTTTGTTCTTTCTTTTAGCAGTGTCTTTTGAAGAAAAGAAGTTTGTAAAATTTAAGTCCAATTTATCAATTTGTTCATTTACAAATTGCGCTTTTGGTGTCCGATCTAAGAAACCTTTGCCTAACTCAGAGTCACAAAACTTTTATTTTCTTCTGTAAGTTGTATAGTAACTTTAGGTTTTACATTTACATCTGTCATCACTTTTGAGTTAATTTTTGTATATGGTATGACATATGAATCAAAGTTCATATTTTTGTATGTGGATATCCAGTTCTTCCACCACCATGTATTGAAAAATGTCTATTCTTTCTTCACTCAATTACCTTTGCACTTTGTAAAAAATCTGTTGTCTTTATGTATGTGGGTCTTTCTGGACTCTGTATTCTGCTGCATTTATCTATTTGTCTATTTCATACTAACAGACTATTTTGATTACTGTAGATTTATAGTAAGTCTTAAAATCAGGTAGTGTGAGCCCTACAACTTTGATCTTTTTGTCAAAATTAGTTTCAGCTATTCTAGATTTTTGCATTTCTATATAAATTTTAGACTGAGCTTGTCAATTTTTTTAAAAGCCTACTGGGATTTTAATTTGGATTGTATTGAACCTATAGATCAATTTGGGAGAAGTGGCATCTTAACAATATGAATCCATGAGGCAGATATATCTTTCCAATTATTTAAGTCATCTTTAATTCTTCTCAGCAATATTTACAGCTTTCAGTGTACAGATCTTTCATGCCTTTTGCCAGATTTATCCCTATTTATTTTTTAAAATTTTTATTGTTGAAAGTATTACAGATGTCCCCCTTTTTCCCCTCATTGACCCCTTCCACCCTGTTCCCACCCCCTCCAGGACTTCACCGCACATGCACTATTGTCTGTGTCCATGGGTTATGCATATATGCATAGAAGTTCTTTGGTTAATCTCTTCCCACCCCTCCCCCAGATTTATCCCTATTTCATATTTTATGCTATTGTAAATGCTATATACTTTTTTGCATTTTCATTTGTTTGCTGCTAGAATGTAGAGCTATAAATGATTGTTATATATTTATCATGTAGCCTGCAATCTTGCTAAACTTATTAGTTCTAGTAGCTTTTTGTAGAGACCACCAAGTTGAATAGATGGATGATTATGTCAGTTTTATTTCTTTCTTTCCAATCTGAATGTGTTTTCTTTTTTGCCTGTTTACACTGGTCAGAACCTACAATGTTGAATAAAAATGGTAAGAGCAGACATCCTTGTATTGCTCCTGATCTTAAGGGGTAAGCATGCAGTCTTTCACCATTAGGTATGAGGTTATCTGCACGTTTTTTGTAAAAGCCCTTTACCTGGTTGAAGAAGTATCCTTCCATTCTTAGTTTGCTGAGAGTTTTTAAAAAATCAGGAATATTAGATTTTGTTGGATGTTTTTCTACATCTAGTGAGATGATCAGTTTTTTGTTTGTTTTTGTTTGTTTGTTTGTTTTTAGTTTAATTTGGTGAATTTTATTTATTGATTTTTGAATCTTAAACCAATCCTATATTTTTGGGATAAACCTCACCCAATATTATCCTTCTTATATATTGTTGGATTTGATAAAATTCTGTTTAGAATTTTTATAGCTATATTCATGGGGGAAACTTTCTTTTTTTGCATTTCTATATGAATTTTAGAATCAGCTTGTCAATTTTTTTAAAAGCCTACTGGGATTTTAATTTGGATTGTATTGAACCTATAGATCAATTTGGGGAGAAGTGACATCTTAACAATATGAATCCATGAGGCAGATATATCTTTCCAATTGTTTAAGTCATCTTTAATTCTTCTCAGCAACATTTACTGAACTTTCTTTTTTTGTAATGTCTTTGTGTGGTTTGGGTATCAGGATAATGCTGACTTCAAAGAACATTTTCATTTTTCTGGAAGAGTTTATGTATATGTGTGTGTTTTTCCCCTAAATGTTTGGAAGGATTTACCAGTGAAGCCGTATGAATCAGAAGTTTTCTTTGTGGTAATGTTTTAAACCCCTAATTCACCTTTTAAAAAACAGATAAATAACTATTCAGGTTATTTCTTCTTGAGTGAGCTTTGTTAGTTTATGTCTTTCAAGGAATTGGCCATGTCATCTAAGTTGTTGAAATTTTTTGCCTAAAATTGTTCAGAATATTGCCTTATTGTCCTTTAAATGTCTGTAGAATTTGTAATTATGTCACCTCTCTCCTTCCTGATATTGGTCTTCCTGATGTGTGCCTTCTTACTTTTTTTTTCCTGACCAGTCTGGCTAAAGGCTTATCTATGTTACTGATCTCAAAGGACCAGATTTTGATTACATTGATATCCTCAATTGATTTTTGTTTCCATTTCATTTATCTCCACTTTGATCTTTATTTCATTTATTTTGCTTCGTTGAGTTAATTTGCACTTCTTTTCTAGTTTCTTTTTTTTAAAAAATATTTTTATTGATTTTTTTGAGAGAGAGGAAGGGAGAGAAAGAGAAACATCAATGTGAGAGTGGAACATTGATTGGCTGCCTCCTGCATGCCCCTACTAGGGATCAAGCCCATAATGCAGGCTTGTGCCCTGACTGAGAATGGAATCAGCAACATTTTGGTGTATGAGATGATGCCCAACCAACTGAGCCACACTAGCCAGGGCCTTTTTTAGTTTCTTAAGGTGGAAGTTGAGACCACTGATTTGAGACTTTTTGTATTTTCTAATATAGGCATTTCATTTATACAAAACTTGTTATGTTGCATTTTTATTTTCCTTCAGTTCAAAATACTTTCTAACTTCATTTTTTATTCCTTCTTTAATCAATGGGTTATATAGAAGCATGCTATTTTGGTTTCAAATATTTGGGGATATTCCAGTTAGCTTTCTGTTATTGATTTCTAATTTAATTCCATTGTGGTCAGAGAAAATACTTGACATGACTTGAGTCCTTTAGAATGTACTAAGACACGCTTTATGGCCTAAAACAGAGGTCAGTAGGCAAACTTTTCCTATAAAGAGTCCAATAGTAAAATATTTTAAGTTTTGTAGGTCACATACAGTCTCTGGCACATATTTTCTTCTTTTTTTTAAAGAAACCTCTCAACTTGTAAAAACCATGTTTAGTTTATGGGCCATACAAAACCAGGCTAGATTTGGCCCCGAGGCCATAATTTGCTGACCCCTAGCCTTGAATATAGTTTCTCTGGGTAAATGTTTCATGTACACTTTAAAGAGAATATGTATTCTTTTATTGTGAATGTTACAGAAAAGTCAATTAGGTAATATTGGTGGATAACACTGAGTTTACTATATCTTTGCTAAATTTCAAGTTATTCTAGCAATTATTGAAAAAGAGGTACTAAAATCTCTATCACTGTGGATTTGTCTGTTTCCTCCTTGTGGTTCCATCAGTTTTTGCTTCACATATTTTGAAGGTCTGTTATTTGGGGCATAAATGTTTAGGATTGTTATACTCTTCTCATTAACTGGCCCTTTTATTATTATGGAATGGCCTTCTTTATCCCTGGTAATAATCTTTGCTCTGCAATCTACTTTCTTCATGTTAATATAGCTACACCAGTTTTCTTTTTATTAGTGTCTGCAGTGGCATGTAGATTATTTCCATCTTCTCATTCTTAAAGGTTTTGTGTCTTTGTATGTAAAGTGTGTTGGGTCTTGCTTTCCATCCAATCTGACAATCTCTGCCTTTTAATTAGGATTTTTTTTAGATCATTTACATTTAATGTGATTATTGATATTACATTTAAGTTTATCATTTTGCTATTTTCTATTTGTTCCATCTGTTCTATGAGTTCCATCTCTTCATTGTTCCTTTCCCCCTTTTTCTGCCTTCTTTAGATTATTTTTTGTGAATCCATTTTTTCTCCTTTGTTGGCTTATTAGCTATAACTGTTTTGTTATTCTGTTGGTTGCTTTAGGATTTATAGTCTACATGTTCAACTTATCACAGTCTAAAGTGATATTACACAACTTCACATATAGCCAAAGAACCTTATATCATATTTCTATTTTACTCTTCCTGGCCTTTATAATAGTGTTGTCATGTATTTTGCTTATGCATATTTATCAATCCCACAATACACTGTTATTATTTTTGTTTAAACAGTTATCTTAAGAGAATTTTAAAAAATATTTCACATATACCCTGTTAACCTTTTCCAGTGCTCATCATTCCTCTATGTAGATCTATATTTCCATCTGGTATCATTTTCCTCTTGTTTGAAAAAACTTTCGTGCAGTCTGTTGGAGATGATAATTGAATTTTCACTATGAATTTTCAGTCTCTCTGCAACACTCCCAGGTTCAAAGTGAGCAAGCGTCAATTAATCTATTCCCTGCCATACTACAAACAGCCTTGGCTAAACTGTAGAAGAGAAAAATGAAAAGGAACATATTATACAACCACGAAATAGCCTAGAACCTTGCCTCAAAAGTCCAGCTTGGGGAAAGAACTTGTGGTATGCCAGGGTGTTAAAAGTGACTGAATAAACATGAGGCATCTTCTCAGATATCAATTTTACTCAGAGATTTGTAAGCAGTATATTTATACTACACATAGGATTATTATGGTATATAATGCAACATTTATATTAAATTTAAGACAAAATGTGAAACTAAAGAAAATTATAGCTTGGGACCAACATTCAAGGCAATTTTTCTTCTCTGCTATTAACTACACTTTTGTAAAAAAGTTTGAGGAGCCATAACTTTGATGATTATTCATGATTAAAACATCTCCTAAAATTGGATTCTGTCAACAAATGTAGATTATTCATAGAGGTTTTTATTTAATTTGAATATGCATTTCTGAATTGACCACTATATCTTGCTGTTCAGCTCATGAATCATCTCTAATGGTGCTCATGAAAAGTGTACTTGATTCCAAGTGTTTAAAACGCCCATAATTATTCCTGTGAAGAAGGACCAGTTCTCACTCTTCTGACTGTTAGAAAAACTGTCCAATTTTCTGATTCCCATCTAGGATAGAATAAGAATGCACATAAAGAAACCTGTTAGAAATAGGCCTAAAATAGAGATAATGGGCTCGCTATAAAGATACTACCAAAAAAATCCACTTCTAAGACTGCATCATAAGGAAATAAATAAAGCAAAAATTTAAATATTAGATTATTCCTTTACCAGTAGGAAAAAAATTGGTTGCAATCAATATAAATACCCCCAAATAAGAAAGTGTTTAAATTACAGTACATCCTTATATTCTATAATAGAATACATATTCAGCCATTAAAGTATATTATAGCTGAATATTTATTGCTAGGAATAATACATCTTACTCATTTGTATTTTCTTTAATATTAACTGCTTGTAGTAAGGAAAACCCAAAGTTTTCATAAATACTTATTCAATATGAATACTTATTCAAAATGATGACATCATTTGTTTATTCATTCATTTAACAAATATTGGCAGTATTAAATAAGACATAGTCCTTGCCCTCATGACTTAATTTGTGAGAAAAACAAGGGTGTGATCAACAATCTTGGAAAATTTTTATTGCTTTCATTCTCATTACTTAATTGCCCAATCATTCCCTCCCTTATTCATCAAGGACTTTGGCACTTGGCTTTCAGTATCCACCTCCTTGCATTTTCTGCTATTGTGTGACTCTTCAGTGTCCATATGGACAACCCATCCAACAACCTTGAATTCTTCACTCCACCCACTCACATCTACTTCATTCAGCAATCCATACCCAGAGCCACACCCTCAACCTTCTGATTACCAGGAAATTGCTCCACAGCCTTAGACTCCAATATATTGATCTCTGACCACAACCATTTACTGTCCTAGTTTGTTTCACTCCATTACTCCCTAAACACCAGCTTTCTTTTTGAACCTCCATTCCTCAACTATTCTCTTTTCTTTCAAACCATGATCTCCCACATAGCTTCAAATATTTTCCCATCAGGCTAGATTCCCAGGTACATCAGTCTCTCCTGCTTATAACCTTGTCCACTGGTTTAATTCATCCTATCCCATTCCTTAGAGCATATATTTTATACTATCTTTTTTTAAAAAAAAAAATATCTTTATTGATTTCAGAGAGAGGAAAGGAGAGGGAGAGAGAGAGATAGAAACATCAACGATGAGAGAGTCATTAATCGGCTGCCTCCTGCATGCCCTGACTGGGGATCGAGCCCACAACCCAGGCATGTGCCCTGACCGGGAATCGAACCCCGATCACCTGGATCCTACGTCAACGCTCAACCGCTGAGCCACGCCTGGCCGGGCTATACTATCTTAATTCAACTCAAACTTGCTACTTCACCAATGCCCTTATCTCTTTTATGCTTCCTTTATCAGAAAAAAAAACAAAACTATTAGCTATTAACCTCCCTCATCCTCTTGTTCCACCTTTGCAAGTTATACGCATATAACTACCTTCACCTGCTTCATTCTAATCACAGAGGAAGAATTATCCTTTCTCTTTTTCCAAGTCAGTTCCTTTATGTGCACCCTTGATCCCATAGTCCCTCTTCTCCTACAGAATCTTGCTTTACCTTTATCTCTCTTTTTCATCTCTCTTCTCTGCTGACCCTTTTCCCACATTTTATTTTTTTTATATTCCACATATGAGTAAGATCATGTGATATTGGTCTTTCTCTGACTGGCTTATTTTAGTTAGCATAACACTCTCCAGTTCCGTCCATGCTGTCCCAAAGGGTAAGAGATGCTTCTTTTTTATAGCTAAATAATATTCCATAGTGTAAATGTACCACGGCCTTTTTACCCACTCACCTACTGATGGGCACTTGGGCTGTTTCCAAATCTTAGCTATTATAAGTTGTGATGCTATGAACTTGGGGTGCATAAGTTGTTTCTGATTGGTGTTTCGGGTTTCTTAGGATATAATCCTAGAAGTGGGATCACTGGGTCAAATGGCAGTTCCATATTTAATTTTTTGAGGAAACTCCATACTGTTTTCCATAGTGGCTGCACCACTCAGCATTCCCACCAGCAATATACTAGGGTTCCCTTTTCTCCACATCCTTGCCAGCACTTGTTTGTTGATTTGTTGATGGTAGCCATTCTGACAGGTGTGAAGTGATATCTCATTGTTGTTTTAATTTGCATCTTTCTCATGATTAGTGACTTTGAGCATTTTTTCATATGTCTCTTAGCCATCTGTATGTCCACTTTGGAGAAGTGTCTATTTAGGTCATTTTCCCACTTTTTAATCTGGTTGTTTGTCTTCCTTTTGTTTAGTTGTATGTGTTCCTTATATATTTTGGATATTAACCTCTTATCAGATGTACCATTGGCAAATACGTTCTCCCATATAGTGGGCTCCCTTTTTGTTTTATTGATGGTTTCTTTTGCTCTCTTCACTGTAAAATCTCCTCAATTTTGTAATATCCAATTTTGTGATAACAGCACTCGTTATTTCCCTTTTAAAGAAGAAATTAAGAGCTTTGAAATAATATACATCTATTGTAACCATTCTCAACTTTAATATACTTTTCAACCCAACACAACAGAATTCTGCCACCATCAATCCATTCAAAGTGTCCTGGCAAACATTACTAATAGCACAATTACCAAATCTCATGATCTTTTCAATTTATTTGACCTGTCTTATCTTCTGACTTCTTTCATTCTGAAACCTCTCCCCCAGTGGCTTCTCTAACACTGAGCACTGATGGTGCTCCCTTCCATCCCTCTGCTGTTTCTTCTCAGTTCTTTTGCTGCCTCCTCTTTGCCCACTTACTAATGTTGATTCTCATTTCCTCTCACTACATTCAGTCTCTATGAGCAATGACATCCATTATCCCCTTAATATCACCTATTTAGTGATAGCTACTTCCAGCCCAGGCCTTTTTCCAAAACCTCAGACACATATGTTGAGCTCCCTGCTCAACTTCTCTACATGAATATCCCACTGACACTTAATCTTCCATATTCATTCAAATATGTCCACATGGAGCATCTCATCTTCCTCCCCTTTCTCAGTTTTCCATCTCACACCCAAACACACACATGCGCACACACACACACATCCCCCAAAGTCCAATTCTTCCTCTATTTGTCTCTATCCTAGTTAATTATACCACCATTGTATTCTACAACCAAGCCAGGGACCAGGTAGTCATTCTAGATTTCTCTCTCATCTCTAGCACTTTCGTAGCCAAAAATCTCATTATTCCCCACCATGACTGTAAAACCACACAAAAATACTTCCATTTATTAAAAATAATAATAAAGTACATTTTACAACATTGCTCCTAGTATCTAAATTATGAAATGACAAACACATTACATTATTATCAAACCATGAAGGTTTATGCAGAAACATATACAACTTGCACTATCCCCAGAGATCAGAAATCTTGTTCATACCCCTATACCTCACAGTGTTTAACACATAGTAGTTGTTGTTTAACTCTCTGTTCACTTTTGAATAAAGTAAATATAGCATATTTAAACATATCCATAATAATTATTAGATGCATGCTAAATAGCTCAATAAATAATAATAGGATTCTTATTAATCTTATATAACAAAACGTAATTTTTACACCTTGTTAGTTCGCCAGAATTTCTTTAAAACATACCTCACACACAACGCCACATAGGAATTGGATTCCCTACAAACTGAGCTTCCTCTCACTCCTATTCTACTGTCATAGACAATACTTAATCTATCTGTGCTCCCTTAGTTTCTGCCCAGTCCTCATCCCCCAAATGATGAAAGTGAATGTACCCTTATGGATACCTTCATAGTAAGAAGAGTGTGACCTAGGTGGATCAGAGAGATCCCATTGTCTCCCCAAGTCTTTCCTACTTTGTTCTCTGATGCCTGAAAGATGGACCCTCTAGTCTACAAGATATGAACTTCAATTTTCCTAAAGAAAAGAAACAAAATACAGTATTCAGTAATACAAAGTGAATCAAATTCAATAATGCTAATATACGAAAGACAAATATAGAGCCTTCCTTTGTCAATTGGGAAGAACAAAAGAAAGGGGTATATTATTAAGGGGCCTTCAGAAGCAATGCCTTCCGATCATTCCTGGTTTTTAAAAATTTTTCTTTAATGCATATTATTTTATAATTAGAGGGGAAATGTTCAAAAGCAAGTCCACAGGTCTAGTTTTAAGGGCAAATAAAAGTTATAATATGACCATATGTAGTACTAACATTTTTTACATCTAAATAATTAAAGGAATTTCAACTTTATATAAAAGGAAAGGAAATTTGAGTAGAAATAAAGATACATGAGGGATCATTAGATTTAGGCATATGTTACAAGAATTTCTTATCAGGAAAAGGTTTTGTATCTACCATGCTATATTAGTAGTTTTGCAGTTTACTGAGTTCACTGGGTCAAAAGTTAACAGTATGGGGTCAACAAGTAAATGAAATATTAACATCAAAAATTAAAGGATTGGAATTAAAAACAGGGCATACTCCTATGATGAAGAAAAGGAAAAGGTGTTCCCACTAGAGCTGTAAACTATTCACCTATTTAAAATAAATTACTTCTTCAGAGCTGCCCTAAAAAGTTAATTTGTCTTAATCACATAAGCATTTCTTTGCCAAAACAGAGTGTGCTGTATTTTATTCTCATTTCCTTATGGATTTGTTCTACAAGAAATAATTTTTCACATATTAAGTAGTTCTCAACTGTCATAGAGAACTGGTCATACATCCTCAGTCATATCTTCCAGAAAGTAGAGGGCCTCAATTTTTGTTTGCTAAAAATAAGTAAGAAATGAATGTTAACAGATTCCTGGTCCCTGTCCTCTCAACTTCCAGGATAAGGCTCATCCCAAGTCAATAAACACTCTGAGAGAGTCATGAGTTATAGTTTTTTAGTTTTTACCCATTGTAAAGTTTACTTTATTAAAACCCTTCTATTTTCTTTTGATAAAGGGCAAAGAATAGATCTATTTCTATTACTCATAGTCTTTTTTATTATTTAAAATTATTCCCCAAACATAAACATTTTAATGGCTATCACAAAAAGTTAACCAAACCTTGGTATATTTCAGACCAAATATGGTATATGATTTACCGTTCTGAGTGTCACTTTTGAGAGAGGCCCTATTAACCTGAAGAATAACCAGAAGAAGGGAGCTAAGACAGGTGAAGGGTTTAAAATAATAAAGCCATTAAAGAAACTAAAAGGATGTTTGGGGAATGGGGATTTAGATGTCTTCTGGTTGAAAATAACTGTGTTCATATTTAAAGGGTCATCACATATAGGTGGAAATGAATTTGTTCTCAGTTGCTACAGGGGGCACCCTGACAAGGGTGGCAATTACAAAGTGATGTTTTTGCTCTTAACGATTCTATGATTCCAGAACTGAATAGATTAAATTTTCTTTATTAAGCTCTTATGAAATTTATATTATCTTAAAAGCAATGTTTCAAAACATTGTTTTTACTATTTCATCTAAGGCCAGCATTGTCACACTAATTTTTTAGAAAGTATATAACTGAAACAAATGGGTTTATCCATTTCCAGGTATCCTACTGGTAAAAAGGGGGAAAGTTCAAACTTCTTCAATAAATACTAACCATTATTAATTGTAAAGGAATTTTAGTTCAGTCCCATAATCTGTGGCCAAGAATATGGAAGCAAAACAATTCTTCATATAGGGGAAAAACCTTATACCTCCATAATCTTAATAAAGTTTGAGTTGAAAATGCTATACATATATGAATCTGTTCTAGCCACTTCTAAAAATTAAGGCTCCAAGCCATGCAAAGTAAATTTCCCAAAACAAAAGTACATTTCCTGATGAATGTATAAATTTTCTCCCATGTAACTAATATTGACATACTTTAAAAATTACTTGCCCGGCCAGGTGTGGCTCAACGGTTGAGTACTGACCTAGGATCCAGGAGATTGCGGTTCGATTCCCGGTCAGGGCACGTGCCCGGGTTGCGTGCTCGATCCCCAGTCAGGGCATGCAGGAGGCAGCGGATCAATGACTCTCATCATTGATGTTTCTATCTCTCCCTCTCCTTTCCTTTCTCTGAAATCAATAAAGATATATTTAAAAAATTATGGCAAAAAACCCAAAACACTACTTTTAGTAGTTTCTAAACTGCTTTTAGTTTCTTTTTGCCTTATATGATTATTAAAGGGCCATCCAAATATTATGGATAATAAAGTACATATATTGATCTTCCATTAAAGAATCACCTCAACTGCAGAATAAATCTGTTTCTAAACTGTATATTCTCTTAAACTGATACCTAATTAATTGAAGTATATAGTTATGAATCATTTAAGTAACCTCTGAGGAGGATTCTATAATTTTTTTAAAAAATATATCTTTATTGATTTCAGAGAGAGGAAAGGAGAGGGAGAGAGATAGAAACATCAACGATGAGAGAGTCATTGATCGGCTGCCTCCTGCATGCCCCGACTGGGGATCGAGAACGCAACCCAGGCACCTGCCCTGACTGGGAATTGAACCCTGATCTCCTGGATCCTAGGTCGATGCTCAACTGCTGAGCCATGACCGGCCGGGCTATAATTTTTTTTAATGTACCAATTAGCTATAGGGAAAAGAAACTATCAAAGTTTTTTGACCAAACAGAGATATACTCAATATCTAAAATAAACTATAAGCTTGCACTTTGAAAACGGAATGTATACTGGTGAATTTGTAGGAAAAGCTCATCACATTCTTACTAACAATTTCAATAAATGTGCAATTTTATTATTTCAGTAATAGACTGGATGCTGGATCTAACTGCTGTCCAACTTGAGGTCTGACACTTCACAGACTTAAAAAGATAAAAAGTACTTTTTATGAATTTGTTACACAAAAAAGTACAGAAAAATACCTAGATTTAGCATTAAAAATATACTTGCCCTGGCTGGTGTGGCTCAGTTGCTTGGAGCATTGTCCTATGCATGGGAGGGTTGTGGGTTTGATCCCTGATCAGGGCATGTGCGGGAGATGGTCCATCAATGTTTCTTTCTCACGTTGATGTTAGTATTTCTCCCCTCCCCCTTCTCCTTTCTCTAAAAAGATCAGTAAATATGTCCTTGGGTGAGGATTTTTTTTTTTTTAAAACAAGTATATACTTACAATGATTAGAAATTTAATTTGAAATTTTCAGGTAAATATTAACTTGAAAACTTAAAAACTCATAGTAGAAAGTAAATAGCTATAAGACACAGATTAGAAACATTTTTAAACCAGCTACTATTAAACTTTGTACTTTTTGCCTTTATTATAATTCTTGTAGTTTAGTAGATATAATATTTCTGGAGGGTAAAAATCCTAGCATAGCTATTTAGAGCACAATGTTTTAAATATATGATAATAAACAAGTACAAAACCATCTTAAAATACAATACCTTGTTTGTAATAGATACTCAGTAAACATCAATTTATTTCAATTAGAAAACCACCTTAATATTCAGTATGTAACAAATATTTACCACTTTATATTCTTTACAATTTTAATGCTCAGTTTATAAGAATACATAGAATAAGTCATTCTCAGATTTGTTCAGGTGGCAGAGCAATTGGTGATCCTGTCTCTCTGCTGAATACCATTCATTCCTATTAAATATTTGTCAATGCCAATAACTGTGGTAAAGACACAGAACAAGAATATATACAGCCCCAGCTATTAGTAAACTGTCAAAACCAGGAAATATGTTTATGTATATATATCTAAATATGTATGTATGAATATTCACTACCTCAGCCACACATCAATACATAGGCAAAATGGCTATTTATGTGTATATTAGTTTCTTATTGCCACTGTAACAAATTGCCCTAAACTTAGTGGCTTGAAACAATAGAAATTTACCATCTTACAGTTTTAGAGGTTAGAACTCTGAAATGGGTCTCAGTGGGCTAAAATCAAAGTGTAGGCAAAGCTGCATTCCTTCCTGGAGTCTCTAGGGGAGAATCTGTTTTCTTCCCTTCCAGCTTTTAGAGGCTGCCCTCATTTCTTGGCTCCTAGCCCCCTTCTGTCTTCAAAACTAGCAATAGCTGGTTGAGTCTTTCTCACATTTTACCACTCTGACACTGACTCTTATGCTTCCGTCTTCCACATTTAGAAGAACCTTATAATTACAATAGTCCTACTCAGATAATCCAGGATAATCTATTTTTAGGTCACCTGAGTAGGAACCTTAATTCTATCTGCAACCTTTGCCATGTAACATAACATATTCATAGATTCTGGGACAGGAACATCTTTGGGAGGATCATTATTCTGCTATCATATATATATGAACAGTTTTTCCTGTTTTTCTTCAGGAACTTGCATCAGCCATCAGCCATCTCTGAAATTATGCAAACTGTTCACATGTGTGCATGATTCTAGAGAAAGGATTTATAACATTCAAATTCTCAGTTTCAGAATCACAAGACGAGCTCATAAAGCACCACTGTTCCTTAGAAGCATAGTTTGGTGGTGTCAACAGTTCCAAAGTTTAGATTGGCCTTTTAACATGTATATTTTTAACTTTGATTAGAAAACATTAATATGGGTTGAAAGTTTTTGCTGAAGTATATTTTTCTCTGTGTGTTTTAGAAGTAGTTGTAATCATACTAATTATACTTCTTTATATCTTGTACTTATAAACATTTTTCCATGTTGGTATGCATCATTTTTTTATGATGGTAACAGCAAATGCAGTAGATATTCCACAATTTACTTAATAATCTTCATAGTATTAAACATTTCATTCTCCTATCCCCCTTTTCTACTATTATATTTAATGCTTGAATGAGGCTCTTGTATAGATTTTTTTCCTTATTTTGGATTTATTTCACCTAGGCTAAATTCCTGAAATTAGAGTTTTGAGCAGGAAAGATATGAATATTTTATAACCCTTTTTTATATATCACTAAATTATTTTCCAAAAGGTCTGTTTAAGTTTACATTGGCTTTACTTACCAATACCATCAATGTGAGGAGGGTTTTGTTTTTTCTTCATGTCTCTTGGATTTTCTAATATGTTCACCAGTACCCTTGTTAAAGTAAATTTGTAAAATATAAATACAATCATATTACTCATTGGTTTAAGATTTTTCAATTGCATCAATATAAAGGTGACATGCAAGGCCCTTCATGCTTTAACTTCTATCCACTTATGAGGCTAACCTTTCTGACCTTCTCCAAAGGCACCTAGGCAACAAATCATATTAACTACCTCAATTTTCTTGAACCTTCCTGTTTTCTTATACTCCAGTGATTCTGCTTTAAATGCCTCTATGGCTTAGTTGTACTCTCTCTTTTACATTGGGGTAACTCCAATCTTTTAAGGCTCCACTAAGGTATCCCTCAAGACAGCTCTATCAAGCTGTAACCTCCTCCTGTAAAGTTTTTCTGAGCCATCTACTCCTAACCTGGGTTATATGCTCTTCCTCTATATTGATCAAACTACAATTTTCAAAAAATTTGTTTCTTCCATTAGACTTTCAGCTCCTTGCTAACAGAGACTACATCCTTTTCATCTCCATTTATCCAGTTCTGATATGGTAAATGTTTAATTCAGTGTGCCAGTGCATATCAAATCCATCAAAACATACCTACATTTGGGGAACTGCTATTCCCACATCTGGGAAATCTTCCAATAAATAGGCAAATAAATGAGAAAGTCAGTTAGGAAAAGTACACAAAAGACATAAAAACATTCAGTTCAGAATTTTTTACAATAGCTAAATATTGGAAACAACCTAAATGCCAGAAATAGATGAATAGGGTAGATGATATGAAATATGTAGCCCATCAATTTGGAATGAAGGTTGTAAAAATGGTACAGTAACTCAGACGTTTATGACATATTAAATTGAAAAAGACAAAGGAAACAATTTCCCACTAAAGTCCTATAAATTAGAGATACAGACATTAACTAAAAGGGAAAGTGAAAAATGTATGAGTTGTTTGTATGGATTATGATTTTATTGCCTTAATTCAGAACTTCATGAATGTTGCTATGCATCTCAATTATAATAAAAATAATTTAAAGTTAAATCTATGCCATTAACGTATGTGTATATATTGGTGTATTCATATATATATACACACACACACACACACACACACATATATATATATATGCATATATTTCCTAGCCCTGTCTCTGAAAGGTCCAAGAAGCAGAGATACCTCAGTAGCAATGAACATCCGTAGCCTTGGTCTCTAATACAGTTCTTCGTTAACAGGGCTCCTTAGAAAAAAGGCTAATTCCAGGGTGGGGCAGGGTAAGGATAAGATAAACATGGAACATCTTATTATACCACAAAGTTAAGAAGTGTAAAAAAAAAAAAAATGATGTAGGCATGTCACAAAGACACAGGAGCCAAACTAAAGGTCTTCCCTCTAGCTAAATCTGGGACAATTCGAACACCAAAATAATTAAATATAGATTTAAAGATTTAGAGGTGAGAAGTCATGATGTATATAACTTACCTTAAAGTGATTCAGGAAAAAAAAAATTACAAAATATATACATATATAGATAGAACACACACATGAAAATGAAATACAGAAATGGAAAAACAGGAATTCTAAGTTAGTGCAGATAAAATAAATAAATTAATTAAATAAATAAATAAATAAATTCTTTGTTTGCAGTAGAATGTTGTGGGCCAACTGTTAAATGTGGAGGGAGTACTAAGTTGGTCAAATCATTTTGCAACCATCATGGTAAAATTTTATCAGCAATAATGGATGCTAAATTTAAACAGGATTTTTGATGAAGAGCAGTATATATTTTCAAATGTCTCTCCAGAAATTGCTTATTAATTGCCAGAAAGAAAAAAAAACACTATATGGTGGAAAATTCAAGCCACATATGGACCAGGTGATCAAAATTAATATC